GGCCCCGCCCACAGGCTGACAGCCCCCACCTGGCGGCGCTTCCAGCGTTCCGGTAGTTTGGGCCCGCTGCGTCCGCGCGCCTCTTCGGCTTACCGGCTCTGCTGGTCCAGTCCGAGACCTCCTCCCGGTCTCCTTTCCCCTCAGGATGTGGTTTGATGGCTCAATGCTTTTTTGCCTTGACTCCCGAAAACAAGAAACACGGCGGCCGGATGTGGCTCCGGGCTGCGCTTAGTCACTGAACACGCAATACTCTCCTGGCACCGGGCACCCGCGCCCCACCCCCGCCCCGGCCTGCTGGAAAGGTGAACCGGGGATTTTATTTGTTGTGACTAACTCTGCGATAAGATGAAAAGTTGAACGAGAGTTTTCGCTGTGCTGCTTTTTGTTTCGGCCACGCCTGGCCCTCTGTAACTCTGCGATAAGATGAAAAGTTGAACGAGAGTTTTCCCTGTGCTGCTTTTTGTTTCGGCCACGCCTGGCCCTCTTGTAGAGAAAGATGTCCACCAGACTGAAGAAGTCGGACGCCTCCCCTCCCCCCTTGTGTTTCAGGGTCCAACCGATGGCACGGAGGGGCACGGAATGCGCCGTTCACATGACACAGATGAAGACGGCGGGCCATATGCCCAGCCCCTCTTTGCACCGCGGGCCCAGAGTGTTCAGGATCATACAAAGTGACCCGTCCAGGTGTCGCCCATCTGACGCGCACCCGCGAGTCCTGCTGGGACCAAAGTCACTGGGCAGGCGATCCAGCTGGTCATGGCTAGTAAAGTCATGTCTTTCACTGAACGTTGCTGCTCCTCTCCTGACCCTTCCGGTTCTCCCAATGCTGGCAGTTTGTCACCAGCTTCCTAACAACCCAGGACATGCGACACTCGAAGATAGAGACTTGGAACGAAAGTCTCACCCTGGCTACTCTTGAAGAGGCTGGCGAATGTGAAGAACCTTCCTTTGTGGTTCCCGGCTGCCCTTCTACAGCTTTGGGACTTGGAGCCCCTCCAGCCACCTAGATGCCTGATTTTCTGCCCAGTGCGTTAACCACTTCCTACAGTCACTGGTTCTTAGACCCAAGTTGATCACTTCATTTGATCATTTTTGTGCTTACCTCATAGGCACCTACTTCATTACAGCGCTGCAGCATGTCTATAGGAAGACTCCAGTTCTTGAGCCCCCAGTTATTCTAGGACAGCTCTAATTACCCACCCCTTTCGATACAGGCACTATAAAGGATGATTTCGTGATATACAACATTTGTTGTAAGTCTCCAAAAACCAAACAGCTATTAACTCGATCCCTACTCGTAGCAAACCTATAGGACAGAGCACAATTGCCCCTCCAAGATTCTAAACCTTGCAAGAGCAGAAAGCTTCATCTTTCTCCTGAGGAGTGACTAGTGGGTTCCAGCTGCTGGCCCGTTTTACTACCTGAGCATATGGCATGGGGATTGCATCTGACCTCCTCTTGATGCCTACAGGAGGAGACTCCTCTTCCACGTCTGCCCAGAGACAATTCTTCAGAGGCAACTCCTTGTACCCTATTCTAATACCAGTCCTTCCCAGGACACTCCTCTATTTTGATAATCCTTGCAAGGACCACACAGAACTCATGGACAACTAAATTCTTAAGGCTAAACATTTATTAGGGACATTAACAGATTAGATCAAGTGAGAATCAGAAAACTAAAGATACAGCATTTTTGTCCACATCCTAGTGGGCCCGTTACTCTCTCTGGTCCTCAGCCTCTCAGCCACATGGTCCATTGACCCTGCTAGAGTAAGTGTTACAAAGCTGCTTTAGGGTTGATGAATGCCCAAAGCAGGCCCCACTCTATAAACCAGCCTCCCGCCCTGTGGCACTCAGCTTCACTTATTTGTGGGCTGGGAAGCCAGCTACTCTGTTGCATGGTCTCTGCTGCCTCCTTAGCTCCTTCCTGGTCTTTCCTGCTGCCACTTCTCCATGCCGGGATCCTGTGCAAGAATGCCTCATCCAACTGCTGACCAAGGGATTCTCTTCTGCTTCTGAGATGCCTCATATACACAGAGGGATGGAAAACCTTTTCAGTTCTGCGCCTGCCCCCCCTCCCCCAAATCTCCTACACTTGGTTGGCATGTTTCCACCCAGCCATTTGGTGGGAGTTAGAACAACTATGGAGATGGAAGGACCATACCACATCATTTCACTTCAGTGGATAACATTGATGTATCCACAAAAAGAAATCTCTAAGTGGTGTACACTTACTGCCATAGATGAATTCTGATCCAAACAACCCTGTAGGACAAAAGTAGAATTGCCTCTGTGGCTTCTGAGGCTGTAAATATGGGAACAGACAACCTCACATTTTTCCTGAGGAATGACTACTGGGTTTGAATGACTGACCTTGTGGTTAGCAGCCAATGCATAACTCAGTACACCATCAGGGCAAACAAATCTGCCTTGGAAAAAGTACATCCAGAGCACACTTAAAAAGCAAGGATGGTGAGACTTCATCTCACATATTTTGGACATGTTATCAGAACAGACTAGTCCCTGGAAAAGGACATCATGCTTGGTAGACTTACTGCTATCAAGTCGATTCCAACTCAATTCCACAGGCCAGGGTAAAACGGCCCCTGAGGGCTTCTGAGACTGTAATTCTTTATGAGAGTAAAAAGCCCAATCTTTCTCCCATGGAGTGGCTGGTTCTTTTGAACTGCCAATCTTATGGTTAGCAACCCAACACATAACCACTATGTCACCAGGGCGCCTTGGGAAACTAGAAGGGCAGCAAAAAAGAGGAAGACCCTCGACTAGATGGATTGCCACAGTGGCTGCAACAATGGGCTCGAGCATAACAATTGTGAGAATGGCTCAGGACAGGCATTGTTTTGTTCTGTTGTACCTAGAGTCACTATGCGTCAGAACCACCTGGACAGCACCAAATCATAAGAAGTCATGTCAAAAGGAGCCCCGGTGGCTTTTGCATTACGCATTGGACTGCTAGTTAGCTGATCTGCAAGGTCAGCTATTCAAACCCACCAGCCGTTGTGTGGGAGAAAGATAAGGTTTTCTGTTGCCATGAAGATTTACAATCTCAGCAACCCCATATGCAGTCACTTGAGTTGGAATAGACTCAATGACAGTTGTTGGAGTGGCATAAATGGTTTGCTCTCTGTTATTAACCTAAAGTTTGGCAGTTCAAACTCAGCCGGCAGCCCAGCTGAAGATAGTTCTGGTAATCTGATTCTCTAAAGATTGTTGCTGCATCCTAGCCCACCAAGCCCTGAGGATTAAATTCCTGCTCAGAGCAGCCAATGCACAGAGAGGACCATACGACTGGCCTCACCATGAGACACGACCCATAGCGCTACGGGGGACAACACTGGAGACACAGTGTGGGAATTGTGCCCGATCTGACCCCACCACACTGAGGTGAAAGACCGAGGTGTGTAAGAGAACAGCAAGGAGAACAGAGCAATGAAGTCCCGAGGAAATACCAAAAATAGACTATGGGGCCAGGCCGTGGCACCCCATCAGACTCCATCAGAAAACACTCCTAAGGATCAACAAACAGAACTTGAACTATTTACAGGCATTTCTTTGTTTGTTTGTTTGCTATTGGTTTTGTTGCTTTGTTTTGCTCTGTCTTCTTTTTGTGCCTATTATTATCTCTGCATGTCTATCTAGATAGGATAGGCGGGATAAACAATCTAGAGAAAACAAGGGGACCAATGGTCCCAGGGGACATGGGAGAAAGGGGAGGTGGGGGAAAGGAACTGGGTGTTAACAAACCCAGGGACAAAGGAACAAGTGATCTAAAATCGATGGTGAGGAGTCCTGGTAGGGCTTGATCAAGGGCAATGTAACCAACAGGAATTACTGAAACCCAAATGAAGGCTGAGCATGATAGTGGGATAAGAGGAAAATCAAAGGAAATAGAGGAAAGAAATAGGAGGCAAAGGGCATTTATAGAGGTCTAAATACAGGCTTGTACATATGCAAATATATATATGATAAGGGGGAAATAGATACATGTGCATATATTTATAGGTTCAGTATTAAGGTAGCAGATGGACATTGGGCCTCTGCTCAAGTACTCCCTCAATGCAAGAACACTTTGTTCTGTTAAACTGGCATTCCATGATGCTCACCTTCCCTACACGATTGCTGAAGACAAAACGGGTGCATAAGCAAATGTGGTAAAGAAAGCTATTACAAGATATACTGTCTGGGGTCTTAAAGGCTTGAAGTTAAAGAAGCAGCCATGTAGCAGGGAAGCAACTAAGCCCACATGGAAGAAGCACACCAGCTTGTGTGATCACGAGGTGTTGATGGGATCAAGTATCAGGCATCAAAAAACCAAAAACCATATCATTGTGAATGAGGGGGATTGCGGAGTGGAGACCTAAAGCCCATCTGTAGGCAATTGTACATCCTCTTACAGAAGGGTCACAAGGAAATGACGAGCCAGTTAGGGTGCAATACAGTACCGATGAAACATACAACTTTCCTCTATGTCTTTAATGCTTCCTCCCCCACAATATCGTGACCCCAATTCTACCTTGCAAATCTGGCTAGACCAGAGCTTGTACACAGGTAAGATAAGAGCTGGAAACACAGGGAATGGAGGACAGATAAACCCCTCAGGACCAATATTGAGAGTAGCCATACCAGGAGGGAAAGGGGAAGGTGGAGGGAGCAAGGGGGAACAGATCACAATGATCTACATATAACCCCCTCCCAGAGGGATGGACAACAGAAAAGTGGGTGAAGGGAGACCGGTCAGTGTAAGACATGGAAAAATAATTTATAAATTATCAAGGGTTCATGAGGGAAGTAGAGTGGGGGAGGGAAAGAGGGGAAGAAAAACAAGAAGCTGATACCAAGGGCTCAAGTAGAAAGAAAATGTCTTGAAAATGATGATGGCAACAAATGTATAAATGTGCGTGACACAAATGGATGGATGGATGGATGGATTGTGATAAGAGTTGTAGGAGCCCCCAATAAAATTATTTTGAAAAAAATATTGTTGCTAGTTTCCTCTAGTCCATTCCATTCGTGGTGATCCCATGTAGGCAGAGTAGAATTTCTTCACAGGGTCTTCAGTACCATGACCTTTTGGAAGCAGCTGACATCAGCCCATATTAAGTCACAGATATCGGCTGCCTCTCCATGTTACCATGTATTTTGCAATTCAAATATAATAAGCCTA